ACATATGTTTCATATGTTTGTTGTTGTTTGATTTATCATCTACGGGTTTATGTCGAATTAATTTGATGGCCTGCTCCCAGTTGGCTTGTTAGCTCAATTGGTAGAGCGCTGCACTAGTATCGCAGAGGTCAGTGGTTCGAATCCCGTACAGGCCTGAAATTTTTTTCAGGTCTGATTTTCACTATTGCTCAAATAGTGCTTTACTGCGAAGGATCGTCCACATATACGTCTCATAACCGCAGTTCATACATATGTTTCATATGTTTGTTGTTGTTGAGATATATTGTTAGCTTGGATGTCCGACCGCGAGAGGGGGAATGTTTTGCTTCACAGAAGTTAAACACTCGCTGCTTGCGATATGTTTCTGTAAGAACTTTCAGAAAGAAAAATTGCTTTTCTCCATTTTAGACGATTACAGAGACAACGATACAAAGCCGTGGTTCAATTTCATTTTCCAGTTTTTTCTAACATCTCTATTATACATTATCATAACCAAAAGCAAAAGAAATGATTATTTCAAACAAGAATATAACCATCGAACCTTACTATAAAGAACATGTCACCCAAGTTTTAACTTCTTGTTTAACTTATTTAATCATTAAGCCTGACCAGACTGTTAGATTTTAGTCTTTTAGCGGAGCGGTTAAGATCTTGAAAGATCATAATCCTGTTTTAAGGAAACATTCTAAAACAGTATTAATTAATAGCTCTAGGGGAGGTTGGAGGTGGATAGAAGACTTAAGAAGTCGGTTCCAGTCTCCAGTTAATAAAGACGAGCGAAAGAGCGAGTAAACCGCAGCGGTTGTAGTTCTCAGGGAAACAGCTGGCCGCAGTTTTTCGTGGGCCCGATTTTACGCTTGTTTCTAGACTGAATGAGAACCGTGTTATGGATTGAGAGATACCGAGTTTTAAAATCCACGTTTAGCTTTACCTGCGAAAGACCGTTATTTGAGATGTGTATTTTCGGAAAGGTACTCTTCTGTTCCCTTCAGACAGCAGACTCGCAATCTGTACAGCAGTCTGAGCACTTCGACGTCACACGATTAATCCCAGAGTAAATTAATGACGGTTTCGATCGACATTACACCGAATCTATTGTACGTCTTGATGGGATTGAAATGAAGAAGAAACTGATTAAATATGAGCGGGAGTAATCAAAATAGTTGTCTTCTTAGTCTTCAAAACCAAGAAAGGT